TTCAAGAACTGCAAGATTTTTGAAATTTTCAGCAACATCAAATTTTTTTTTTCATGGGCCAACTGATTAACCACGGCCCCGTGAAGGTGCAACCCGCGAAACCCGCGGATCACACCTCCTTGACCTGTAAACCATTCGCTCGGGTCACGGGTCGACCCGCGATCTCGAGTCGATTCGAACTGATTTTCACGGGTCTGGCCATCTTGACACCTTTACTCATATCCACTGTGAAGAGGATATCAATTCTATGTTTGATTATCTATTGTAATGTATTAATCCATCTTGTTTAAACAAAACTTTATTTTTTTTGGTGCAAAAATCGTAAGCAAATTTTATTATAGTTTTGCTTAATAAATAACAATTTCTCATAGAACAAAATTCACAACGTATATATTATGTTGTAGTAAAAAGGATAAAAATTGATTGCGCTTCTTTCTCAGTTAAAACATATAAATTATATTTTCCTATTCAATAATTTAAAGAAATCAATGTTAATTGAAATATAAAATACACGACAACTATGTAGAAAAGAACAAGTAAATTCAATTTCAGAAAAAAGTGAATATGAATCGGATACAGCTATAATTTTTTTAATTTTTTAACTAACGACAAATTTTAACTAAAAACTTTTGTTATGAACGATCACCACTGATAGTGACGGAACAACACTACTTGAGCCTTGCTGAGCAGACCCTCGTTTAAGCTGGCTACGATTTTAACAGATGTTTTAAGGGGGTGCCAGTGTCGTTTGTGGCACGATCTGGCTACATAAGATCTAGATAAGAAAATGATTTAAATGGCACTTAGTAATATATTGTTAAATGGATAATGAACGTTGAACTATTAATGTAAGACAATTTAAGTAGGACACACTGCTTAAAGCCTTAAACATTGAACGGGTAATGTAAGACTTATTAGCCTAAGCTCAAAATCTTTACTTATATGCTCCAAGCTATATACGCAGCCCAAACCAGGCCGCCCTCATTCTCTAGCCAAGACAGCCATGGAATTTTCGGTCTCACATCTCAATTCTTCCATAGCTGCAATATTTGCGCTACTTTTGATTTTGTACTGGAAATCTAGGTCTAAGACTAGGAAAAACAGTGCACCGCCGGAAGCTGGTGGTGCGTGGCCTATCATAGGCCACCTCCACCTCATAGGCGGTGGCTCTCGGCTTCCACACATCACCTTGGCAGAAATGGCGGACAAGTATGGACCACTCTTTACAATCCGACTTGGAGTACGCAAAACCCTTGTGGTTAGCAGCTGGGAATTGGCTAAAGAATTGTTTACCACCTGGGATGTGGCTGTATCTTCCCGTCCAAAATTTCTCGTATCTAAACACTTGAGCTATAACTTCGCCATGTTTGGGTTCTCCCCTTATGGCGAATATTGGCGTGAACTGCGCAAACTAATAGCCATGGAATTATTCTCACCCCGTAGACTGGATCTCCTTCAACCCATACGTGTTTCAGAGATTGAGGTATTGTTGACCAACTCATAAAAAAGCCAAACGTTTCAGAGAATGATTACTGTTAAAATTTGGAATTCCATCTTAAAATATCAGCCTTAACGGAGTAATCCAAGATGAGTAATCCAAATCCTTATAAATTTGTCTATATTTTCATCTTTATTTTATGTGCGATTTTATCTCTTAACATGTCCTACAAGATGGTGGTTCATCTAAGCAGATCAATCGTGAAATTCATGTGCTCAATTTTTTTGAATCTTAATCGGATCGAATCGCTCGTTGAAATTTAACGAGATCTGATACCATGTTAAGATTTAGGGTTCATCTTAAAAGATCAACATTATTAAGAGGAGTAGTTTAAACTCTTATAAATTGATCTATATTTTCATCTTCATTCGATATGGGATTTTATCCCTTAACAATTACATGCATTAGTTCAACACAATGATTCTTGTAGAGACCCAATTCATTTTTTGATACATGTGCACAATTTTTATAAATGAATAGAAGAGAATTTAATAACTCATCTAAAAGCTCAAACTATTAGATCAGTAATTACATTTATTTATTTAAAAAAAACATATCTTTTGACAGGTAGCCATAAAAGAGCTTTACGAGTACTGGAACAAGAAGAAAGATGGGTCGGGTCGAGTTTTGGTGGAAATGAAGCAGTGGTTTGCGGACTTGAATTTGAATGTTGTTCTCAGAATGGTTGCTGGGAAGAGATATTTTGGTGCAACTGCTGATGGGGATAAAATAGAAGCAAGGCACTGCCAGAAAGTGATGAGGGATTTCTTTCATTTGGCTGGAATTTTTGTCGCGGCTAAAACTATCCCTTTTCTTGGGTGGCTGGATTTAGGTGGATATGAGAAAAGAATGAAAGAAACCGGACAAGCAATGGATAAAATTGTTGAGAAATGGTTGGAAGAGCACAAGCAAAAGGCAAATACTGGTAGTAATCAGGATTTCATGGATGTGATGCTTTCAGCTATAGAAAAATCAGGCCTTCAAGATTATGATCCAGCTACCATCACGAAAGCGACATGCACCGTAAGTTTTCTCATAAAGCTAGGATTTTTGTCTTCAGTTATTTCAGAAAGTGAAACTGAAACTCTTCATGTTGCCTGATTCTCAAATTGTGTCTTCTACTTACCAGTTAGTCTGTCCTTCATATACTTTCAAGATGACAGCATCTTATAGGATCATCGAATCCATAGCAATAAGACCAAATTGAAGAGGCTCGTAAATGCAACACCATCTTTTATATAAATGTATAATCTTTCTTAGAAAAATCATAATCTTTGTTACTAGCATACTTTGTCTTTATATTTCTTCAGAGCTTGATTGCTGGTGGAGCAGACACCACCACAGTTATGCTAGTATGGGCGATATCTCTGTTATTGAACAACCCCCATGCATTGAAAAAGGCTCAACAAGAATTAGACATCCATGTCGGAAAAGAAAGGCAAGTTACAGAATCAGATATCAGTAAACTGGTTTATCTTCAAGCCATCATCAAAGAGACTCTACGATTATACCCTGCCGGTTTCCTGGGTGGCACAAGAGAATTCTCCCAAGACTGCAAATTATCCGGCTATCATATTCCAAAAGGTAAGAGGAATAATTCAAGTTTTTAGAGTATGATAAAACTACTTTGTTAAGAAGAATAATTCAAATCTTTATGTATTGAATGTGCAATTTCGTCCTTAACAGGTACAATACTAATTGTAAACATTTGGAAATTACAAAGAGACCCCCGAGCATGGTCCGACCCGTTGGAGTTTAAGCCAGAGAGATTTCTCACAACCCATAAAGATTTCGATGTTAAGGGTAAGAATTTTGAACTGATCCCATTTGGAGCTGGTCGAAGGATTTGCCCTGGCACAACTTTCGGCATTCAGATGTTAAACTTAGTCCTTGCTAATTTGTTACATGCATTTGAACTTTCAACTCCCTTTGATGAAAAAGTTGATATGAGTGTGAGTGCTGGACTGACAAATATGAAAGTTACTCCTCTTGATGTGATCCTTTGCCCGCGATTATCTCCAAGTCTGTATTAAGTTGAAAGATAGTACATGTTTTCTTACTCTTACCTTCTTCAATAAATTCAGTTTAGTAAATTCATGTTTAATGACTATGTTAATATCATCGTTCAATACTAAATTTTAAAAACTATATTTCACATTAATTGGAAAAAAGTTAAAGCAACTGCCAAGAGTATTCCCAATTAAAGCAATTTTTTTTGTATTAAGTTTTTCTCCGATTGTATTATAAAATATTTTTAAATTTTCTCTCGAGTTTCAATTTCTAAATTACGTTCGAAAAGGATTGGTAGATCCTTTTAATTTTATGTGAAAATGGAGGATGAACGAGATTGAACAATCTAATTTATTTGCTTTGGTTAAGAAAGATCAATATTTAAATTTGAATTATAAAAGAAATTAGAATGATTTTCTTTCAATTTTGTAAACCAGAAACAACCCTGCTACATGAAAAGGGTCAATGACGGATTATTTTTATAACGAGGACACGTGTCATTATTTAATTGGACGGCTATAAAAAATATCCATAGAGCCATAGGTGTCAATTTTGCACCATCAAAGTTCTTGTTAGTTAACTCGGTTGAACCAAGTAACATATCAATTAAGACCTTGAAAATTGTAATTAACCATGTACCATCTAGGCATAGGGATGGCAAAAAAATTCAGACAGCTCGGGCTCGGTCCAAAAAAAGCTCGAGTCGGGCCAGCTCGTGGCTCGTTTCCGCCAAGCCCCATTTTAAGGCGTCGGTGTGGGCCCGAACTGCCCCCTACGATTCGAGCATGTTAATAATAAAAAAAAACCAAAACAACAAGAAGGAAAAAAATAAATAATAAATAAATGATGTAGCTGCTCACAATGCAAACAACTTTGAAATATAAATAAATAAATAACTCGAGCTGGCTCAGTCGCTATTGTTCGAGTCAAAAGTTCGACTCCTTGACATGACTATCTAGACATCTACTGACCATAATAAATAGTGCAGTATTTTTCCTTTTTTTCTGCTCTATAAAAATATCTATTGACTTAAACGTTAACTCGTAAAGAAAAAAAATGCTGAAACTAAAATGATTGCAAACCAACAAATTGTTTGACTTACACAAGTCGGACAAAATATTTTTAGATGAATGCAGCAGTCTAAAATTTTAACCCCATTTTTTCTGGAAATTAAAATCAAAATTTTCATACAATTTAATAAAAGTTGATGAAATATATGATTGAAAAATTGTGAATCATATGAAATATGTCATTAAAATTAATTATTAATTTTAATTTAAATTAAAATTTAAATTTCTATTCGGACCACACAGGAGCTTAGGGTATAAATGGGAAAAGCTTTTGGAAAATGAAATCCTTATCTATTTTGACTATTTCCGACAGTAAAAGGTGATCAAGATAAGATTAACCATAAATTATTTAAGACTGATCCATTAAAAGAATCTTTGTGCTCCAGAAGATAGCAATATGATGTGATGTTTATATGTCGAATGCAATGGACTGAAAAAAGACATTTATTTTAATATTACGAAATTAAGCAAATTTCAAAACATGATCAATCTTTTTTTCCAAGGTACTTTTTGGGCACTGCTTGGCTTATCTTATCCATCACTTGCCCGGCTTCTTCCGTGATGGTTACATTAGTATTATTGGTGGTTGATTTATATGTATATAATGATTTACATATATAAGACGTGATAAGATATAATTTAGTCAAAAAAAAAAAAAAATCAACCAAATAAAAAAAAAAAAAAAAATTCTTCACTCTTTTTGACACAATATCTAGTCATCTATATGTAAACCATTACATAATTCTATTATATATAAGTGGTATTATTCGTATTAAAAAATCTGATTTTGGCTTTATTTGATTAGATCAAAAAACGAAAAAAAAATAACATGAAAATCAATTTAATTATTGCTAAAATTTCAGTATAAAAATATGAATAAAAGTTAGGCAATGGATTACATGTAAGTTTAATATTTGATGGAAGTCATATATGCCTGTATGGCTTATCTCATTCATTCGATGTTAATATTTGAGCTTTAAGCGGTACTTGCACAAAAATTATCACTAAAAAAGTTATTTTTGTACCTCATTCGCATCAAATAAGTCGTGCTGGAAAAAAATAGGACAGATAATTATCAAACAAAAAGTACGATAGTAAAAGCCAAATCATTGACAATTGATTGATAATCACGACTCTCAACTGTTTGAACATCTTTTTTAATTAATTGATAATTGCTTGACGCTATTATTGATCCCACTAGATTGTGGACGAAAACTGTCTGGTGAATGATATGCTACACTAGACATGTGGATAGTAACCGTCTAGCTGTTACACGATATCAAACACTTATAAATATTACGAAGGCATGTTGGTATGGGGGTCTAGTTTTTTGTCAAGACATTTTCTCCCCATTTTCATAAGTTATTTTATTCTAAACCCCGTTACTAATTCTCATGCCGGATATACAACGAGAGAGAAATTCTCAGCCTCTTTTTACATGTGTTCAATTGCTTATCGGAACAACAGAAGCCTCATTTCTCCGCTATGGGATTCCAAAGGACCTTTCAATATTATTTCAACTACCCTAAAGGTATATAACAAAAATTAACAGAGATTTGGCTACAAATTGGTTTTTTTTTTTTTTCCTTCATGCAAAACATACACAATTTTGACATAAAATCACGTGATCGAAGTTTCTAAACTTAATACAGATATTGTAGTTATCACAAACCCTTTCCTTGACTTTGTCCATGATGGACACAGAAATAGTGTACCTACTAGTTTCTTTACCTCTTCCAGGCTCATTGTTCTCACTATTATTTGCGTCATGGAATATGTTGAGAACGTTATTATACCACATATATAGATAAGAGTTTTACCAAGTAGTTGATGGCACGCCATTCATTGGAAATGGAAGTGAACCTGCGAAGACACTTATCATGGAATCTTGATAGAATGTCCACTAATATGTAGGTGGTTATTTCGTGTAAATTGATTATCTAAAGTTGTAACTGGGTTCCATTTTGTGTAGGGTTGGTAGATTGCCGGTTCAAATTTTCCGTGAGTTAATGTACAATACAATGCGACTGAATTTTCTGAAAAACTAATATTACATTAAATGTCATTTGTTGTAGCGACTTTAATTATTAGTATGTCAAAAAATGGGAGTTGTAAGAAACACATCAAAAGATAAAAAATTGCTGCAAAATATCGATCATAACCAATACGAATAATCAATTTAGATATCGATATATAAGTGGACATAAGTACAACAATTTGCTCAGAATGCATAAGTGTTTAGCACGGATTGTCGCGAACAATTAAAAAAAGGATTAGACGATTGTGTAAGAGCCAAACATCTTGAGACAAAGTTCCAAAAAATAAGTGCTTTATTGATGAAAGTTACAATTGGAAATAAATAGAATGCCTTCAAGGGGCGCAAGCACACGA